GGCAAAGATCGGCTTGTCACTCGGAATTCCTGCATGTAGAGTGCTGTCATCAGCGAAGCTGTGGATTGGGTTGATAAAGTCAGCCACCCATCTGCAAAGCTTTTCTGGGAGGCCATGGGATGGAAGTTTTCTTAAGAGGGCAGCGTGCCACAGCTGATCGAACGCTTTCGTGATGCCAAGAGCAACGACATGAGCTTCACCATAAGACTGGATAAATTTACTCCACAATTGCGTAACGTAAGCTAGGAGGTCCCCTGTGGGGGCGTAAGTGGTGGAAGGCTACTGTGTGAGAAGTTCTTTTCAATCTGCTTGGCCAGCGTCCAGAAAGACCGACTGCCATTGCGCTGTGACATTACCCTGTGCCTAACTTTTATATGGTGCTGGTTTTTGGCATTGCGAACCGCTTCATTATATTTGTTTCTGTACTCGACGTCGGCTTGTCTGCCCTCTACAGTGGGGTTTTGTAAGACGGTTCTGTGTGCCTTGAGCTTCTGCTGGCGAGCAGTGTCACACGATTTGTTAAACCAGCCGTTGGACCCTGGTTTAGGCACTTTTACTGTGTGCGGGATGTATTCCTCCATTCCAACATGGATAATTACTGTTATCGAAGAACAGACAGCCGACGCATCCACGTTAGTGGAGCAGACATCTCTCCAAGGAAAGGTAGAGAAGAAGTCTCTGAGCCCCTCCCAGTCGGCATGCCCCTAATGCCAAGTTTTGCAGCCTGTACGAGTTTCTGCTGCCACAGCGGGTTCTGACCGAAACCTGACATCCACAACACCGTGGTTTGAGTTACTCAGGGGGGACAGGACAGCAGTGCTGTAAAGGACAGGATGCGGGGTCAGGAAGAGATTCAACAAGCTACTGGTATGTGACGAGACGCGAAGGAAAAAGTAGTGCTCGTCACCAGCTGGGTCAGCCCTCGAGTAAGACCGAACGCTTCGGCTCACGACCTGCTGAATCGGTCTTGTTTGAACCCAACCAAAACTCATTGTGGGCATTGAAATCACCGAGAAGAACTACCTCTGAAGCGGGGTGATTGCTGTTCAGAAAGTTGATCTTGACGGCTAGGTATTCAAGTAGGTCATCCCAGTTATGGTCCGAGTGAGAGCGATAAAGGCACCAAATATGTATATTTGCAGTTGAGGCGAAGCCGGTCTGATTCCAAAGAAACATCTCTGGAGCAGGAAAGACTGCTGGGGACGAAGACCACAACTCCCCCGTTCTTTCTCAGATTGAAGTGTACTTCGTAATTTGGGAAGCTAAGATGGTTAATCGGTACAGACAAATTTTATCTTCGATGTTGTTCCCCCGAGCTCACCCTCCACCCGGACATTCAGAGAGTGGAGTGAGTTTACGTCCGGAATTCTTAGTGCTCGAGGGATCCATCATCATTAATTTCTTTGTTTTGGAAGATAACCGACTGCATAGCTTAGGTGTCGAAACATGCGGACATTTATAAGACACCCTGTGAAAAGCTAACAGGTGGTACCGCCTTGGTCGACTGATTCTTGTCTACCAGCTTCTTTTTGCGTGTTAATGATATTAAATAGACCTAAAGTGGCCCGTTAGCGGACTTGAACCGCCACCCGGCAATCGGTACTCACTTAAACGGGTTGAAGTTGTATACTGGATACAACAATTTCCGGAACAAGCATTTGCCACGGCCCCGCTCAGTAGGGTGATCTATTACTTAAAGGACAACGTATCATTGGTACTTGTAGTTGTCAATATAGAAGCAACAAATTCGAAACATTATTAGTCAAGGTTTCATATTTATATAGGCATGAAAGGCATACAATCATTAAATACTTCGGTAATCCTGAGATGAGCCGTATCCAATAGGAAATATAGGATGTATCAGAAAGCTTCTTATATTGTTTGTTCTCTTTATAGTTGATAGCATGCGTTGTTGAATCGACATTTTGATGCTTAATAAACAAATAGATAAAAACTTCTCGTTTTCCTCACAACACCCCACTCTGCACACCAGCGCCGTAATACATGGTGTATTGGTAAGTAAACACATCTCTAAAATGGGATATTAGGGAGACATATTCAAGAAACTGCAGCAATCTGCAAATCGTTTCTGTCTAGACCACAAAGATTAGGTACTTACTCTCTAATGAAAATTAGCGTGGCATCCCGTGACACAAATCTTGTGGTTTTTGCATTTGTGAAGCTTCAGACAAAAATCACACCTCTTGTATTAGTTTCAGGTTTGCCATAGGTTTCGCAAAAATTAATTGCAAAAGATAAATCTGTTCTATATTCCCCCCAAAAATTAGAAGCCATCGTTTTAACCTATTATCGTTCATAGCACGTTGACCTTAACTTGTGTCTGAACGATAAACGTTCTAGGATTTACTACAAGTTTGTAATCTGCCTATATCAGAATTACATTTAGACTGCGTGACTCCGACGCACATGCTCCACAGCATTTGCCGCATCATGTTGCAGACACTTTCCATTTCTGAAAAATAACAATAATATAACGTATTTATTGGGCATAGTTTGGCATAAACTATTCTACTACTACCCGTAAAATATATATCTACAAAATAAACAATAAAAACTATGGATACCTCTAACAAATGCATAGGTTGCAACATAAAAACGGATTAATTGAGTAACATAAGTCAAAATTTGATAAAAGGGGGAAGTATAACATTATACATCATATTCATAGAATAATGTTAATGCATATAAGCAGAAGTGATAGATAAATTTAATGATTGCTCGAAAATGATTTTTTCTAAATACTTCTTAAAATTTTGAAATTTAAGGCATTAGTGTCAGAGGGTCTTATGATAGTAGCACTTTAAGTAAGACATGTGAAATTTTAACTTGTCTTTCTAAAATAGGGGAATTGAGGTAAGTAAAAGTCTAAACTACGGAGTTGATACAATGTTGCATACTGCTTATTCAGCTAAGATAACAACTTCCTTTCTATCTATTGTTCTTTGTACTTTGATCTATTGTCTATTGTAAGCCTACAATGCATCGTCAGCGGAATGACACGTGTACCAGAACCTAGATGCCTTGTAAGCAAGAACTAAAGTATAAGTAGGTCCTGCGAACTTATACCATTGTTCAATACCCGACGTGACACCGTAATGTACGAATAGTCGGATAGACCCCATCATAGACAGCTAATTATAATTTGTAATTTTGCAGCGGACTGTAGTTACAGTTCTCGAATAAAGTTTTTAAAAATGTATTTCTAAATTGACTGATTTAAAAAATTGGTGTTAGAAGAAGTTGGATAGCTTCAACACGCTAGAACATATGCATACTCACTGCTGTGCTGGATTCCTATCCTTCAAGCTACAAAAGGACCATGAGCCTTTAAAGAAACTAAGAAGAAACTAAATAAGAAGAAAAAGGAACCTAAGAAGTAAGAATACAGTGATTGTCCGGAAAGTAATAGAACTCATTTTCTTTCGCCATGACTGTACTTCGGAGCGTGCGCGCACCGACTGGATTCGGTAGAAGGCGTTCCTAGCTAACGAATGAGCGGCTGGTCAGTTGTCTCCGAGCACTTGGAGAGTCAGAACAGGCATTTTCGCGCAACGTGTTTCTGTGAGTGGTGCAAGCCGAAAATGCAGCGTTCGTTAGAGCAGAGGTACGCGATTAAATTCCGTGTGAAACTCGGTAAATCTGCGACAGAGACATTTGATATGATCAAGCAGGCTTACCCAGGTGTTCCTTTAGCAAGAAGTGGTGTGTTTCGGTGGCACCAGGCCTTTTTGGAGGGCCGGGAAGAGGTCGCTGATGAAGACCGTGCTAGAAGACCTTCGACTTCGACAAACACCGATAATGTGACTCGCGTGCGCAAAGTTTTGAATTCAGACCGTCGACTAAGTATTCGTTTAATTGCCCAGATGTTAAATTTACCAAAATCTGTGGTTTATGACATTGTGACACAGCATTTGAACATGCGCAAGGTGCGATGATGGTCCCAAAAGTGCTCACTGACGACCAGAAATTGCGGCGAGTGGAAGTGTGCGAAGAAAATTTCAACATGTGTGAAAGTGACCCCCAATTTTTGATTAACGTAATCACAGGTGACGAGTCGTGGATCTTTGAGTATGATCCCGAGACAAAGAGGCAATCTTCCTCGCCCAAAAAATGGAAGCATGAGCAAATCCAAAGTGAAAACTATGCTCATTGTCTTTTTTGACATCAAAGGCATCGTCCACCATGAATCTGTTCCTCCTGGACAAACCGTCAACGCCAAGTTTTACGTGGAAGTGCTCAGGAGACTCAAACGAAGGGTCACTCGGGTCCGACAAGACATCGCAGCCGATTGGAAGTTGCACCATGACAACGCCCCAGTTCACACCGCCTTTCTTATGAACAGCTACCTGACCAAGGCCGGCATCCTAATGCCGGCCACTCACGTTCCGGTAGACCTGAGAGGTATGCCTGCACAGGTATACTGCAACGTGTGTGTGACCAAACCTGCGCAATTCGGAGCAACTGTGCAGGTGACCGGAGCAGAATTGAAAATCGATTCGGTGTACCTGTGCCAGAGTGTTGTCGTACGATGTACCGGAACGTGTGTGCCGACTAACCTGTACAGTTCGTCAGTTTTTTCGGTAATTGGATACGAAGGCCACTTGTTTTTTTAATAAAATGGCGTTAAGTACGGAAGAACAACGTAGAATAATTGCTGAGTTTATAGAAATTTATAAATTTTCGCCCTGTTTATGGCGAATTAAGGCGAAAGAATATCATGATCGTGCAAAAAGGGATGCAGCATATAAGACATTTGTGGAGAAACTGAAAGAATTAGATCCTACAGCCGATAAAAATGCTGTAATAAAAAAAATTAATAATCTAAGAAGCAATGTAAGAAAAGAGAAAAAAAAATATGAAGATTCTGTTAAGTCGGGAGCATCCGCAGATGAAGTTTATCACCCTAAGTTGTGGTACTACGACTTATTTGTCTTTCTTGGTGACCAAGAAACGCCAAGAAATTCCACATCGAACTTGAGTGCAGATGAGGAGACTTTATCTGAGGTAAATTAATAAAACACAATCTATTATTATTTATATTCATTATATATTTAGTTAATATAATTGTTTTGCCATGGTACGCTGCCCTCATGATTAAAGTAATACATGAAATTTTCCCTAACATTTTTTGCTGTATCATTGATATTGCCGGGGTTTCGTTGCTCTAAATTTTCCATGCTAGAGTTTTGTGTATTGTATCCATAATTAATAACGGTTCCGTCAGCATTTTCTTCTTGAACACATTGTTTAGGTGCGTATGATTTTGGTGAATTTTCTATTAGAAAATTGTGCAGCACAACTGCGGCCATTACTATTTTAATAATGTTTTCAGGTTCAACATTAATTTGAGTATGAAATATACGAAATCGTGCAGCCAATATTCCAAACGTATTTTCGATGATGCGCCTTGCACGAGACAATCTATAGTTAAATATTTTTTTCTCGTTCGAGTTCAAGTCCGCTTGTCGAAATGGTTTCATCATATCGCTGCGTAAAGCAAAAGCGTCGTCGGCGACAAACACATACGGCAGATTCCTACCATTTCCTTTGACATATTCTTCGGTTGGGATACGTAAATCACCTTTTGTCAACATTTCGAAAAATTTTGTGTTTTGGAGAACACCTCCATCCGAAATTCTTCCATTGGTCCCAAAATCTGCTAAAATAAATTGATATTTGGCATTTGCAATTCCTAAAAGAACCATACTGTGTCGGCCTTTATAATTAAAAAATTCAGAGCCACTTCCAGCCGGCAGAATGATGTCAATGTGCTTGCCGTCGATTGCGCCCAAACAGTGTGGAAAGTTCCACCGTGCCTCAAATAAATCTGCTATTTCTTTCCAATCTTCCTGGCATTTTGGAAACTGAAAAAATAAAACAATAAAATTACAATGTTTACAAAATTACAAATAAATATAATATTACAAATAAATACTAAGTATATATTACAAATAAATACTAAGTAATATTATTTTAATGTTAATAATATTGTTTATTTTAGGTTGAGTCAGTACAAGAAAACGTTGACTCGGAATGTCCATCTCAAGCACAACCTACAACAGATGGTACCGAATCGCTAACGCAAAATGACAAGGTTGCGTGTTCTTCAAAGAGTGGCACAGTGACTATTTCTCGATCAAGGCCAGGAAAAAACAACTACGATTCTTTAACCAAGGATGTTTTCACCATTGTGCAAGAACATTTTAAGCGTTCACGTACAGAGGAAGACCGTTTTGATGTTTTTGGGAAAACTGTTGCTATGAAACTAAGAGAAGTGGACAAAAGGCAGAGTCTAATTGCAGAAAAAATAATCAACGATGTAATATTCGAGGCTGAACTGGGCGGCCTTACACTGCAACATAGATGCGTTAACATGCAGGAAATGTATAATGCAAGAAATCCTAACATGCAGCAACACCAGCCACTTATATTGCCTTGCCAGTCGGCTTCCAATTCTACATCATATTCGTCCTCTACCAGCTTTATTAGTACCCCTGCTACAAGTCCAAATTGTCAATTCCAACAAAACAATTCAACAAACCAACAACAACTGTCTTCTGATGATGTAGTGGTTGTACGATTGAACAATACATCTGCTGCTTCTTATTTTACCGAATTCACAGACGATCAAGTGGTAAAAGAATTTTGAAATCCCCTTAGATAAGGAAATCCTAAAGTGCACAAAAACCCTGTTTTTGCCAACTTTTAAGGTTATGTACACCCGCAAACTTTTTTTTAAATTCTTGAAAATGTACATTCAGGCTCCTAAAGTACAAGTCATCATCTATCAAATAATGCCGTTATTAATAATAATTATTAATATTCCTACTTAAATAATTTGTAATAAATACGTTTTAAAAAATAATAATTTGTCTTTTACTTACTTTCAAGTATTGTTTGCGCAGAACTTTATACAAAGCATCACACGTTTCGGGAATTATTTTTCCCAGGGCCTGAGGTGAAATAATTGTAGAATACTTCAAGTCTTCATAACTTCTTCCTGTTGCTAGGAATCTTAGAGTTGCAGTTAATCTTTGATGAGGTGAAATGGATTTTCTCATTACAGTATCCTTCTTTATAATAAAAGGACTCACCAAAGAAAGCAATTTTAAATATGTTTTCTCATCCATTCGTAGATAGTTTTGAAAATCTTTAGGTTCAAATTTAAACTCGTTCAATAAATTGACGTGACTGTAACTTTTTCGCTTTAGTATCCAATCTTTGCACCATTTTTCCCGTTTTTTCCTTACACGTTTATTTAAAGTCAATAAGAGTGCTAGCACAGCCAATGCATCATCACCTTTCGACGCCATCATCAACTGAACAAATTCTAGAATTTCACCATAGCGTGTGTGGGCTTGTCAGGTCTTCGGTATACCTGTACAGTTTTACCTGCACAGTTGTACCTGCACAGGTCTACCGGAACGTGAGTGGCCAGCTTAACGCTTCCGCAGCCGCCCGACCGCCCAGATGTGGCCCCCCCGGACCTTTTTTTGTCTCCTCGCCTGAAAAGGCCGATGAAAGGCAAGCATTTTGAGACGACAGGGGGGATCCAAGCAGCATGCACCGCGGCTCTCAAGGCTATTCCGGAGAATGCCTTCCGTGACGCCTTCAATGCTTGGAAATCGCGCTGACAGCGCTGCATCGACGCAGAGGGAGCCTATTTTGAAAGTTTTTAAAGAATTGTAACGATTGGCTCAATAAATTTTATTAAATCGACTCACTCCTATTACTTTCCGGACAAACCCTGTACCAGTGAACGCAGCGAGCAACAGCCACCCAACTGCAAGTGCGACCCTTCAGAAACATCTGCTGGGTCTTCGGAGAACACGACTGCCTCCCGATGTACCCTTGGTAACGTACAATTTCAGTAATCTAATTTCGTTGTTATATATCTCTGTCTGAGTGTATTTCAATTGTGTTATTTGCATTTCTGAATATCTATTTTTGATTTTCTATATATTTTCCCCAATCTTATACTCGTCATTCGCATATTTGCGCATTTACCAATTTGAATTTTTTTGTTTTGTCCTTGAAAAACAACTTTCCAATTCACAATACCTAACAGCAACAATTCAGATGATTACAAACACCCTGAAGGTCATGGAAATATCGAGTCTTATAGACTCTCAGAAATATTTTCAATAGTACCCGAGTACGATGGTAACCCGATCTTGTCTTCCACGTTTATTAATGCGTATCGCACTGCATATCAAATGGCAGTCGTCATATTACATAACAAAAACAAATTGCGTGGGCGAGCCGCCGAACTCGTCAACTCGCGTAACCCATCGAATGGGAAGAAATTCGATCACTATTAGAAACCCATTTCTGAGATCTCACATCATTAATCGCCGACCTACAGTACATGCGTCAACTTCCTAACGAATCCTCACTCACCTTTGCGTCAAGACTACAGACGCACACCGCTAAAATGCACTCTGCCAAAATTTGAATATAGATCAGAGATAAATAGGTAATAAATAATAATAATAATAATAATTTTTATTGGAATGTTTATACATAAAAATATAAAAACGGCAACATTCCAAAAGGAAAGAGGATTGGCAGGGCCATTTTTCACCTCCCCCTAAAAAGTTAACTTCATGAGCGTTTTTTAACATCAACAGAATTCCCAACATATATTATGCACAACACAGTATATAATACGATATAGTCTGAGTGTTAATGGAGGGTAGTGTAGCAAGCGCCATAAATTTAATTTGTGGATTCAAATCTTTGCAGCTGTAGTTGCACTTTTTCCATCTCATTTCTGAAGTTTTGGATGGAAGGTGCTTCAAAAAGTTCTAAATGATCGTTTAGTAGATATGGTGCCGTGTAAGTAAAACATTTTTTGAATTTAGATGTTGTATAAACTGGAATATTGAAGTATTCATTGTTGCGTAAGGAAACTTTACGGAGTGAACATCTCTTCTCTAAAGCAATAAACAGATATCTGGTTAATTTATATTTTAAAACTTTATATAGTAGAGTTTCATACTGAAGTAATACACGATACTTGAATTTTAAAAGATTTTCTCTCACATAATATCCAGTAATATGTTCTTGTATATGTATATCTTTGAAACAGAATCTCATGCAGCAGTTTTGTAATACTTGAATTTTGTGCTTCATTTCTTCCGTCAGAAAAACTTCGTTGAGTCATTTATTTTAACAGTGAGTAGATCTGATCAAAAGAAATGTTTTTTCCTTTACCATTTTTCTGGTAAAATTAAAGTAACAAAGTTATAGCCCTTTGGAAGTTTGAGTACCGCCCTGTCTCAATAATAATGTTATGTGCTCGTGTTTGGCAACAACGGATATAATCCGCCTTATCGGTTCATCGCATCGGAAACAAAAAAGCGAAAGAATTTGGAACGATGTTTTTACAATTATTCTATTCAGTTGTATACAGTCAGTGTCAGTCGGTAACGCGTGGTGTCTGTTGCGTGGCTCAAACGAAATAAAAAATGGCACATGTTTATGCGGATCGGTTTCTCAATCGAGTGCAACCAACCCCTCGTGCCTTTGTTAATGTAGTACAACGGGCTCGTGAATCAGGTGACTTAAGACCTCACAGGGGCAGCATGCCGGTGATCCAAGACCTCACGATCAAATACAGGTCCGCACTGAAATACTTGCCGGGAGGATACTTAATAAAACAAGGTAAAAATTTTTTTTAATTTTTTTTTTATTTTTACACACATATTTTGGTTTATCTTTCTTCTACAATCATTATCTGAAAATTAATGACTCAACTTCAAAGTCACCCTGTATATAAATAGCTTTTATTGCCCAGCAGTTAAGGAATCCATTTACAGGGCAAGCCTAGGATAAATCAAACTAACAAAAATAGAAAAGGTACAAAAAGCATGTGATTTTATCTAAAGAAAAAAAACAAACAAGAAAAAGAAGCAAGAAAACATATTTTACTTAAGTGAGAAACATATCATAAATTATTTACATAATTTCTTTCGAAACCTAGACGACAACAAACTTTCAGATATACCCTGCTCAAGAAAATCAATGTATCAGTTGTTAATTTCGATCTAATATATGCAAAATATAAAACCAATAGTGACTATGGGCGGCTGCAGTTTTTCACAATAAAACCGTACCCCCGTGAGCTTCACTCACCTTATGACCTATCTGGAGTGAAAAATTAAGTTTATGGTCGAAAACTGCAACCAAATATTTAATTATGACGATTCATGTAAACATCGTCAATTTTATAATTAAATTAATAAGCAGAAGTTTTCCTGGCAAAGCTGACTACACGACACTTAGACACATTAAAAAATAAATTATCATCGTCACACCAAGTTACTAAGTCATCAATATCCAGCTGAAGTGCGATACAATCTGCCTCAGACTCAACAATCCTGAATAATTTTAAATCATCCGCAAAAGGGCTTACAACTTAAATATTGCACAATGTTATCAATAAATAAGGTAAACAATAAAGGACCAAGGTTTGAACACTGAGGCCTCCCGATTTATTTATACAGGGTGGCCAAACACGTGACGTCATAAAAAAAAATTAGATTCCCCACATCGAGAGGAACCCAAATCACCCCCATATATATGGTCCGATTTTGTTTAGTTTAAGAGTTATGATTTTTTTTCGGATTTTTCGAGAATTTTTGAGTTCTGTGTTTATTTTTACCATAACTTCGTTAATAATTGTGATAAATGCCTGCTTTTTTCACGATTATGTAGCTAAGACCTAAGGCTTAACTATCATATAATCATTCAAATCATGCAACTAATACTACTTTTTAATTTTTTTCAAAATCTTCGAACATAACAAAAAAGTAAAAAAGTGCAACAACTTTGAACGTTTATAAAAAATTGAAAAACATGTTCTTACTATTCGTAAGTATCTTAAAAACTTCCTTACGGTATCAGCTATTTACCGTAAAAATTTCATCAACCTAGCTTTACTACATGCTACCGTAATTGTGGCTCAAATAGAACCGAACCCAAAATTGGATAACCCTCTGCTCAATAGAAATTGTTAGTTTCGGAAAAAAAATTTGCAAAAACCACAAAAACACGTTTGATTTTTACTGAACAGCAGATTATTATTCATTTATGTTATTTACAAGAGGTTTTCAAAATGTCTGCCTCTAACAGAAATGCACAGTGTACACCTACGTATGAAATTTTGTTTTAAATCTCTAAATGCTTGTGTGTTGTTTTTCAACACATGTGTCGCTTCTTGAATTTTGTTCCTCAATGAATTTTCATTTGCACATTCTTGGGCGAATGTTATGTCTTTAAAATATCCCCAAACAAAAAAATCAATGGGGTTGAGGTCAGGGGAGCGTGGAGGCCATCGTATCGGTCCGTTTCGTCCGATCCATCTGTCTGGGAACCTTTCGTTTAAGTAGTTTCGCACGATCGTTGCGTTGTGGCATGGTGCACCATCATTCTGGAACACCATGTTCCGTCTGGCTTCCAGGCTTGAATCTTCCAGCAATAATGGTAGGCTATTTTCAAGGAAGCTTTTGTAGGCTACCGAATCCAACCTTGACGGCAGTTCAAATGGACCGATAAATTCCATATTGAATATTCCTGACCACATGTTCACACTAAAACGGTGTTGAAATGTCGACGGCCTTGACTGGTGGGGGTTTTCAACAGCCCAAGTATGTAAATTATGGATATTGAATATCCCTGTTCTTTCAAAACGTGACTCGTCAGTCCATAAAATTTTATCAAAAAAATCGGGATCCTCTCGTTGTCTTCGCAGCATTGTCTCGCAGAAATCCACTCTTAACTGGTAATCTGAAGGCATCAACGCTTGAACTCTTTGAACATGATAGGCATGATAACCTTCTTCATGAAGAATATTTTGTATCGATGTTCGTGGTATTCTAAGGTTTTGTGCCATAGATCTCACTAGAGCTGTACCGGGAACAACTTATACGCCGAGGCGGACCACAACCTGAGCATTACCCAGACCACCGTGTCTTTATTAACACACATAACACTTTCATGGCAGGCCGCATTCCAGGACGAGGAAGCAATGAAGGATATCCTACAGCTGATCCGGATCGCAGAGAAGTAGTACTTGAAGAAATTAGCCGGAATCCCTCAACGAGTACGAGATCTATGGCACAAAACCTTAGAATACCACGAACATCGATACAAAATATTCTTCATGAAGAAGGTTATCATGCCTATCATGTTCAAAGAGTTCAAGCGTTGATGCCTTCAGATTACCAGTTAAGAGTGGATTTCTGCGAGACAATGCTGCGAAGACAACGAGAGGATCCCGATTTTTTTGATAAAATTTTATGGACTGACGAGTCACGTTTTGAAAGAACAGGGATATTCAATATCCATAATTTACATACTTGGGCTGTTGAAAACCCCCACCAGTCAAGGCCGTCGACATTTCAACACCGTTTTAGTGTGAACATGTGGTCAGGAATATTCAATA